TTTTTTTCATTTTTGAAGTGATCGTGGTTTTGGTTTTCACTATTTGATCACTGAGGCAAGGGAAAGAGAGAAGCATGAAAATACAGTCAGCAGAGCCTGTGCAGAGGGAATAGTACAGACTTCACAGAAACAGCAGACTCCCACCAACCATAAATTTTGGAAGTTTTTGGCAGCTTCTGCATTTCCCCTCATGCTTGAGAACATTTCAAAGGCAGGATTACAAAAGCAGACATGTTCAGTTCGAAACTGGGGCTCCGGGGAGAGGGAAGGGGCAGGCACAGAGGCAGCGCACGCTGTTTTGAAGGACTCACTTCAAAGCCTTGCCTTTCTCCCTCTGTGCCAGGTGAGGATCACAGCCCGGCTCACGAGTCACCGCCTCCCCATTTAGACAATAAGGAGGAGGATTAGTTAACCTGAGACTGCTTTACCAACCTGTGCCTCTGACCTAAATACCAGAGTTAAGCACCACGGTGTTGTGAATGCGGGACTCGAGATAGGAACTGCACTGACACAAACCCGGCGCTGGGCAGCCTCTGCTCTAACCAAGCGCTTTACAAACATACTGCTGCCGTCTTGCACCTATCAATTAGGAATCTCAATATATTCATGGGATAAGTTTTTCACATACCACAAACATGAGGTCACAGAAAAGACCTAAGTAGTATCACCTCCTTAAAGCAATAATTACCGTGATTAAACAGCAGCATCAAACCTCCTACTCTTGCTTTTTCCCTGGGAGGATTTTCTTGGCTACAAACTCCTGCTACATGCTGATGTTCACCTTGTCCTTACCCGATGGCATACCTAGAGTGCAGAAAAGAAAAATACTGAAAAAACCCACAACTAAACCTCAAAATAAACGAGACTTGGCAATAAGTAAATGCTCAAATTTAGAACTATTTGGGATTTTACATCCTTGCGTTGATTTTTCTTTCCACTGTTTAAAACTTCATTTCTCCCAGGGAAGTAGAGAAGGGAGGAGAAGAAAACTACCACTGTTTGCATACTCCTTTTGCTGAGCCTATCATCTTTGTTAATAGCCTGTAATGAATAACTCACACAGGGATAAACATGCTACCATTATTATTTTGTCAGCAGAGTCAGTATGATTCAGAGGAGAGCAGTCATATGACTGTCACAGTTCCCAAGTTGTGAAAAGATGCGGGAAAACAAAAATTAGCAGCTGAGATAGAAGGCTTAACTTCTACTACTATGAACAACTGAGCAGCCTGTGACTGATTTGAAATACATACACATACAAACTTAAAAGGAAATATTAGTGTCCAACAGAAACCACTCTAGAGCAGACAGGTTTCTTTCCCCTGAGAAGCCTTAGAATGACAGAGAAAAATCACTGTAAGTCTGTCTATTTATTACATCAACTTGGTCAGAAAAAGCAGAGCTCTTTGACACACAATCCCTCTTCTTAGAGTCTTAAATCATATTGACTTTAAAAGTGCTAACATTGTAAGAGTGCATCCAGGCATGACAGCTCATACTTCCTATGTCAGACTTCCTTTTTGCACATCTGTCTTTTGAATCATGTGATAAAAGAGATTGCAAATTAAATATCTGCACACAGAACACTGCCATGGCCAGAAGACCGGAGCCATTCCTATAGATACCTGTCAGACACCACTGACATCTGCTGGTTTCCAGAAATCAGGACTACTGGGGTCAAGACAAGTTGATTCTGGGCACAATTTTACTGCTTATCAAAGGCCCCTTTGTGTGAGTTTATGTGCCAGGGTTCTCCAGCTCAGAAGAGAGGAATGCTTACCAGCAAGCAGCAGGCTGAGGAGATTATTACATGCTGAGAAGCAGCATGTGAAAGTCTCCCAGGACTGGTAAGCTCTGGAGACCAGTTGTTCTGTTAAATCCCCCAGAACTGATAAATTCAGAACACCAGGAGCCTGCTGGCTGTGTACAAAGCCACTACACACATGAGTATCAACCATGGTTTGCATTAACTTGGATCATGAACAAACAGGTAGTGGTTGCTACATGCAAACAAAAAACCCTAGAGGATTACACATACACACTTGATGAAGCAAAGAGCTTTTCAAAGGACTTTGTAAGCTACCTAGGAGCCAGAGGTCCCAGGGTGGGGACTGACCTCCCAGTGTAACACTCATGACTACTCCTACACAGGAGTCCTAAGTGTTAGACAGGGAATGTGTGGTATGAATAGTTATCTGCTAGTAGTAGCAGCTTAGCAGCAAAAAGCCTTCTGTTCCTTGGGATGTGTGTGCTTCCCAGCTTGATCTGCTATCACGAAAAGGGGAATTTATTTACAGAATCAAACATCCAACTATTTTATCAGTTATTTCTTGGCAATACTAATTCCTCCATAACTAGGACTGCTGCTGCCACTGATTTAATTTCTCAAATGACTTGTTCAGAAAAGTACTTGAAAAACCCACTTTATGAAAGACCTCACTTCCAAGACTTTCTTGGAGGTCCCGAAAATGGGACTCCAACAGCTCATGACAGAAACATGGTTAGCCAACTTTACCATTTTTCTAGTCCATGCAATTTAGACTTCTCATTTGAACAGCAGCATGCACAGATATTAATCACCATGAGAGACCAAATAAGTAGGCTAACACCTTTAGTTGCTTTTACCTCTGAAAGGCAAGTTTAGGAAAACAAATACCTCTAAACAAAATGCCTGCTGCTGCCATTTGAAGATAAGGTTCTAGAGAATCTGAGTCTTTGTTGATGTCTGCTCCATTTTTACCTTATCCCTGGCCAAAAACCACACATAGCAGCAGAAACCTTTCAAGTATTTCCAGGAGACCTTTAGATTTTGGCACATAAAAGTGAAGCACATATGCAGTACACCTGCATCACTACCACTGAAAGTTGCACCATGCTATTATGTGTTACTAGACATTTGAAGAACTGTTCCCAGGAATCCTAGAGCTGTTGGGAAAGTGTTTAATGACCTCATCTGATGATTTACAAAATAAGCATTCATGCCTCAGGAAAGTCTCTTTAGTAGGAACATGATGTTACTATTCTACTCTAATAATTTCACTTCTACACTGCTGTGATTTCACTGTTTGGTTTTTTAAAGTAACAACTCCATGGAATTAGAAACAGCCAACATTTGTGTTTATCAGCTTTTCCTCATTTGTCCCACTCTGTTATTTCAACAAAGGGATGTGAACACAAACAGAAGTTTCTCTTTCAAGACAGACCAATTGATGGTTAGTTATGAGAGCGGGCTGCTATGTGCTGACAAAAATCAACTGCTGGACTGTTTACTCTGCTTTGCAAAATCTCCTTCAAGTGCCCTGAGCTGAACAGTAGCTTTGCTGCTCTGAAGGTTTCTGCTCAGATGGCTTAGCAAGGTCTTGCCCTTAGCTGCAAGCTACAGGACTGCACCTTGAGATTTTTTTGCTTCATTTAAGTGTTTATAATCAAGAACTTCTGGAAATTCCAGTGACAACTGACTGCCAAGCCCTGACAATAGGTTCTTAAGCTTTGACTATTGCCTGATAGTGGCTTAACAAAGAAAGAATTGTAAAAAACCCTCAACTTTCTCATCCAGTAAATACTGACATTCAAATACCCATGAACATTTCTTAAGACATTCTTGACATCTTAATGGATTTCCCTTTTCTGTAGCTAAAAAGAAGTAATTTAATACTTAGAGTATCTCAAAAGGGAATCTATATCACTAAAGTGGGTTAAGGTTACAAAGTACAGCTCTCTCATTTACTGTTCTTCTAGGCAGTGTTTAGCATTTAACGCACATCAGTTTACTCCTGTTGCCAGAATGAGAAGATACCCCAGACTGAAAAACATCACCACTTAATGCTTCCAGAGGACATACATACAGAAGTTGAACTTTCTGATGAGACAAAAAGAATTATTCTGAAACATCAGCATACCTTTGAGTTAATAAATACATTCCACTTTTCCTGCCAGACTTTGTCCAAGAGAGATCATGGTGGAGATGTCAACTATTAACTCTGTTTGCAGAGAAAATGAAAAGCAAAACTCTGACAACTTCAGAAAAATGGTGACAAGCAATAAGAATGTATTACTTAGATAAAGCAGAGATAAAAGGAAGCAAATTACTGTGATTTGGGATTTTCTAACCTTTCTACCCCTCATGAAGCTAGTGGGAAAAATTTGATTAAAAATTACTATTTCAGTAAGTAGTACAGGCCATTCTCTTCCTAGAAGCATAAGCAGGATATTCCTCAAGCCAGCAAAAGGAGGAATAATAATAATAAAAGAGTTGCGCAATATTATTCAAACTACTTGAGATAAGCCAAAACCACTGAGCAGCTAGCATCAGCAGAGAATCATCTGACTCTGGGATTGAGCAAGCCAGTCTTCTGACTCTGAAGCTAGGTTAACATCCCAGGAAGGCCAGGACTTACCAGTGAGACTAGCCCTGCCACTAAAGTGTATGGGAATGGACCTCCCAAAGCTGAAGCAGCTTTATCATGTAATGAATTTTCATGAGTTCTTGAAATTTGGTTAAGAGGTCTGATCTGGTTCTCCACCTCCAATAAACACTCCATAAATCTGAGGGTGGACTCCAAAAGATAGGACTGAAAGGTACAGTTTTGTTCCTCAAGTGGTATCACTAGAAGTTATTTAAAAGGTTTGACATATGAAGACAAACTCTCTCTTCTTTGAATTTGTCAAACTCCATGCTCAAATTATGAATTACAATTGGTTGTATAACTTAGATCCTTCCTATACCTGTTTTAAAATTTCTAAAAAAGGGCTTACATTTTACATCTGTAAAGTCATCTTTCAAGTTCAATAGAAATATTTTTAAAGAGTACACACTGATTTTTTTTTTTTTCTAAAAAAAGTTTTTATAGTCCAGGAATTATGGAGTAGGAATTATTAGAAAATACCTTAAAAATATATTTTCAGAATCTGTAATAAAATAATGACTCAATCTTTAATATTAAATTCTTCCAATAATAATCAATTAAAATACCAGTATTTATCTGTAGAAACAACACAGAAATGCTATAGAATACAAAGCAGTATAAGTACCCATGAAAATAGAAATATTATTTAATGGTATAACTTTAATAAATTTTTTTTCAAAATAAATTTAGTCAATAGTTTCTAGGACTTGGCCAGTCTCCACACAATCATATCTGAACTGAGTTGAGCTTCTGCTATTTTCAAAGCAGTTTTCTGGTACAGGGCACCATTCAGTGTTTGGTTCATACTTTGCACACTCTCTTCCCTCTCTTTCTGAAGCTTCTTTCTGAATTTCAGGACTCCTTCCTCAGTGTCCAGTAAAGAAGCCAGAGAAGCATTACTGATTTTCTTGCCAGGCTCATTCCCCCATATCAAGCAGTTTCCAGCTTTAGTTTCTTTTAAGAAAAGAGAATTCTTCAAGGTGAGCATTTCCTTTTCCAGAGCCAGTGCTAACTTTTCAGTAAGCACTGCTTTGCTTCCAGATCTCACGAGTTTTACACTGCAGCTTGGAGGGAGAACTCTAGTAAGGCAGTGAAGGCACTGGAACAAGACAGTCAGATTTCTGTAAAACAAAATTATGATGGTGTCAAAAAAGTATACTCTGTAGCTTCTCCCATCACAGAAATATCCTAGCCAGATAACAGATCAATCCAAACACAGGAATAAAACATACAGAAAATACAAACACAGACCACAAACATGGGGCTCAGTAACTGTTAACAAAATGGGATCAAAAGTGAATAGTAACAAGTAAAATCACTTTTCAAAAGGAACAAAAAGTCTTGAGACTTAAAATTTTACGGATTGATTGCTTAAACATTTCAGTCTTTCCTCTTACATAGAGGAAATCAACTCCTAATTTGAGGAAATGACTGAACCTCACTACAAAATACTTTTACCAGTTACACCTTTTATATTTTATGTTTTAGCTTGAACTCTTCAAAACAGCGCCATTTGGCAATACCCCAGAAATACTTTTTATGTTACAAGCCTTAACCAGCTAAGTCATAAATTATGGCAGCTTTACTAAGTTGCCTAACCTGGCTTAGGAAATATTTGTCCAAGAATCTGCATAAGAAAGGACACCAGTCAGACTCTTCAGATTCTTTCCTTTTCATAATCATGGTAGATAGGAAATAACCACAGCAGAAACATGTACAAAAATTTATATTGCAATACTAAACGAAAAATTACCGAGCGAGAAATTTAAATTTAACGTAACTTGAGGTTTGTAGTTTGGTTGTTTTTTGTTTTAATATTAAAACATAAATATTTAATATTTAAGGTTTTTTAAAAATTAAAACACTTTGAGGAAAAAAATTTAAAATTATACATTATACTAAGAATAATGTAAGAAAAAAATAATATAAAATTATGATGCAGCAAAGTGAAAAGAAGGAATAGTACCAAGCAAGTATTAATGGAGACTAGATTTATTTGTAATTCAATGTTGCAGCCTAGACAAAATTAAACAACTCAGTTCAGGTTCTGCCATAATTCTGACCTGAAAACAGGTGTGTTATTGGTGATTGTTATCATATCATCATATTGGCAGCCTATTGGTTATGATTTCGGCTGCTGTTTATGGTACCAGGAAGAAACAGTGCAAAGATAAAAAAAGTGTATGGAAGATGAATATAAGCTATGCTTTTCAAGTGATTTTACCTGCAAAATATTGTTAGAACTCCTTCAAATGGATTTTTCAGGGCCCAATTAAAAATTGTACCATGGACATTTCCAGCTTTATGACAGAATATGTTGTCCTGGCATTCCTTAAATGGTGTGCACTCCATTTCTCCCAGTAACCATGAACTCACTGGAGTCAATGTGCAGTCACAAGACACAATCTGAAAGGAGAATCTGACAGACACTGCAAGGACAGCAAGTATATCTTCCATGGAACCTGCAAGAAAATACAGTACAAAAAGGTATTTGAACTAAATATTTTGATCATGCTGCATGCATTAGATGAACTTTGATTTTTGGCTCATATTCCCATGTTTTTTGGGAAGGATTTGCACCTGACTTCAGGCATTCTTTGGGAATTTGCTTCTCAACTAAATTTTTATCCCTGCTTCTGTCAAGAAAAACAGTTGATTAATGGAGCATCGCCAGTATAATGAAAGCTCTTAAGATAAACATCACCTTGCCAAAAGAAGACTATTAATAGCCTGGGATAGTAAGATGACATGTTGGCTTTAGCAGTGACACAGCATTAAAGGAAGAAAAATTAAAATTCATTACAAACAATAAAAAGGATATTTCATTACCTGAGTAAAAGCCCAGTTCAAAATCAATTCAATCAAGAATATTGAAAGAAATATAGAAATTGAATAAATTACCTTAATCTATGTGTAGATGAGGAAGAGTTTCAATTACTTTGGTATTATTTAAGAGGTAGTAGTATGTCAGAAAAAAACTTCTGTATATAATTACAGTATCTTATTTATGGAAAAAACATAGGCTTCAGCATTCTGTACTCAAACGTATCTTCAAAATGATCCTTTCCAGATACCCTTCATCACCAATGCTAGCAAAACCTTACAGCAACTCACTAAACATTTTTTCCATTTTGAAAAATGATCCATCTCCTCTTTCACCCAGCTTTAATTCCCAAAAAGTCTGTGCAGCTTGTGTTCAGAGAGAAACTTAGCTTGGCACCACCTAGAATAAACAGAAGAATCAAATATATATATTTATAAATCTGAAGTATATAAATCCATTTACCTGTACAGTAACTATTATCCCTTAGCATCTTTACTGAATATCTGCCATTTGAAATATCTTCCAGACTTAACAAAATTTTCCCACAGAGTACAGTAATCTTTTTGCTCTGCTGTAAACCATCATTCTGATCATTTTGCTTCCTGGCATGCAGAAGAACTACACAGCACACACGATGAAATGCCAGTAGTGGTGAAAGGCTGGTGACAGCAGTGACTGTCTTTGCTCCATCCAGCTGAATCCTTGAAGACCTCTTAGGAAATTCTTTTTTCAGATCATTCTTGCTATGCAAGTCCAATTTCATCTTTTTTGGAGGAGGTTCAATTTGACTTGAGGAGACTGCCAATGCTGAGAAGGCTTTGTTCAGCTTAATGATTTTACTTTGACACTTGATAATTGGAGAAATCGAAGAGAAGTCTTGATCCATCACTAGAGATAAACTGACATCACTCAGTGACCTGTGAAAATCCATACAATATGACTGTTCTTCCAGTTCACATTTTTGCCTTCTGACAAATAACCACAACTCTGCAGACATATGCAGACATTTAAGACAGAAATTCCAATACTATTCAAGTTTAAGTCATAGACTTTGCAAAGAGGCTAAGTCCTTCACATGACTGTCTCATATAAACCAAGTATAAAGATTTTTCAAAATGTGGACTGAATTTTTGAAGAACTTCTAGGTCAGATGCCTCATTTCAACCAAAAGAATCTGGATGTTTAATTCAGACAGAAAAAGCTGAAAAGTCCACGTAACCTATAAAAATACTCTGACATTTATGGATTATTTTTTAAAGATTTTACTTTCTTTTTAATAAAAGACTGCAGAAAATTCTGCCCTTTTGGGGACTAGAAGCTCTTCTGATACTCTACATTTTTATAGATATTCAAACAAAATTGAATGTAGAGTAAAATATAAGGTTTAAGATACTATTACCTTGAACATGCAGCAATTTCCTGAAATGTATGAAGTACTTTATTTATTCAACACAGGGCTCTTTCAGTGAAATCCTAATATTACTGTTCCAGATCCTCTCTCGATGAATATATTATTCTGTCAATCAATTCAATCTCAAGATGTCACTGACATTTGAAAGTCTTATGAATGTCTAATTTTCTTTACAGAGAAGTATCGCCCACCTCATAAATCAATCCATGATATCACTGCAATCTTGCATTAGTAGGAAGCACAAAAATAATCAATAAAGAATTACAGCGTTTGGGTTGGAGATAAAGCAAGTCCTTTTCCCCACAAACACAGGCTGCTGTACACAGTACTGAACTGGAGCTCACAAGACCCAGGTTCTGCTGCTGGCCTGTCAGGTAATCTTGGACAAATAGCTTGTCCACAGATCTTTCCTCAACTGTAAAAATGGGGGAGAAGGCTAGACTCCTGCTGGTTTTTAAAATCTGCTGAAGATTTATGAAGTTATAAAGGAATTAAGTATTTAACCTAAAAAAAAAGGCAAAGGCATCATCATGAAAGCTAAAAGAACAAACACGACAAAGGCAAAAACCAATCTTTTGCCTCAGTGCCTCTTAAGAGAGGCTGTCAAGAGGATGAGGTTAACTTCCTTGTAAAGTTACAGCAATCTGGCAGTTGAGAAAGAATACAGCCACAGCTCCAGCAGAATGGCCAGAGGGCCTAACAGGTCAGCTCCCTCACAGCCACCTGAATCATTTTCAGTGGCATCAGTAGACTTTGAGCTCAGCCTAACACAGCCTCAGCTACACTGCCTGTGGGAACATGGGTCAAAAGAGAAGTTCTGACTCCACCAAAGTTTATGTTACACAATTCGTGTTGTAATTTTGTATTTTACGTAATCCACTTTTTTTCACACTGTTTCAACTTAGTTCCCTCACTGTAAGGGAAAATGACATAAGTAGTATTTACAACTAGAACTGAGTAATTAAAATAAATAGAATAAATAAATAATTTTAAAGATAATTAAAAAAACCAACCAAATTATTTTGAAGGTGTAAGTACTGTATGGTTGATTGTTCCACATGATTTACACAAAATACAAGCTGTGCAAGCATTTTGATTAAGTACTTGACTAAAAAAAAAGAGTTCAAAAGCTAAGTATTAATTAGTTGGTAAGAGAACATATTTTCTTTTGTGCTTCTTGAAACAAATCAATTAAGAATGGAAAGTAGCTAACAGTAAAGCATCAGGAACTAAACTAAGACAGACCTTTATTTACAACACATACTGATGTCAGCATTGCTATGTCAACATGGACTACAAAGAGCCATAATTTTTGTCAAAGAAGACTCGTTTGTAAAAAGTCTCCAGTAATGTTGCAATTATACTGACACAACTGATTTCTGGCTGTATAATGTATTTTTCTGCAAAGTGCTAAAGAGCAAGCAACCAGTAGCAAAAATACTGACATTTGAAACACTTTATATGCACATGTTCAAAATGAGAAAGTTCAAATTTATTGCCGAACTTAACCCACATATTCATTTTCTATAAAACTACCAAGGAAATTATTGGATAAGTGTATATACTCACAAATAAAATGCTTCAGTTAGTTTTACTCCAACTACCAGGCTGTCACCCACAACACGCTGCCACAATTCCCCTGTGAAGTGCTCTGGGACTTCAGACGCCGATGATGTCTCTTTACTAAGAGAATCAGGAGGATTTTCTACATCATCCCAGAGAGAGACAAGGCCTTCCTTACAGAAAAATGTGGATTTTTAGATAAATTAAGCAGAGATTTTAGGTCTTTTTATACTGCATTACTTTGTGTTTTACCACAAGTGACTGCTGGAAGAGCTTTTAAGATACATAAAATATATAAACTAGTTTATTCTCTACAATAAATAGAATTAAATTTTCTTAAAACAGATATCATCATGTAGACTACAACTTATTCTCTCCTTGTAAACATCATATGTCAAAATCTTGACCTGTCATACAATTAATTGTCCAAAGATTTAAGGTGCTAGAATTTATATTATTGCATTTAATAGCTCAATACTTTGTTGTGCAAACCCAGAAAACTTGAAAGATGGCACGGCAGTAACTGAAAGAGATCAACAACGTTTCAATTAAATTAGGTTTCTTTTCAGCAATGTATTAAAATAAGATTTTCCTAACCTCCATCACCTTCTCAGCCCACAGTTCACTCTGCTCCCATTATAAAATCAATTTTGCTCACACAGTTCTATGACAACTAGCTTTTTGTAACATGTGAGATTACAGATTTTCAATATCCAGGCAACTGTGGCAATTAGATAAGTACACTCCCCTCATGTTTGTCACTAACTCTGTAAGAGGTTACTCCTCCATACCACTCAGTTGTCAGGAGGTTTTGTGCACATCAATTTCAAGTAGAAGCAACTAAATTTACTCCTAAATACATATATTGGCAAGTTAAGAAAATTAACCAGACTTAAATAGCAGATTAATGAGTTTTGATAGTGGCAACCCCTACAGGCAAAAGGGGTAAGTGGTTGATGACAGCACCCTCCACAAATGGCTTGGCAGAATTCAGCAGTGATCTGGCCCATCTCCTGCATTTTACCTCTTTTGAGTTTGGAAGAATATGGGTTCTTTCTTCAACAAGATCTATTAATGCTCTGCAAGACTCAAGAATAACCCTCCTTTGGAGTCCTAAATGCTGCTGCAGCTCTCGAACAGATGTACAACCAGCCTGTAAAAGTTAATCATTAGACTACTGCACATAAGAAAAGATATTAAAGCTATCAAAATATCTTTTCAGCTTTTCATTTTTATGCAAGAATCATAAATAGCATTTCTAAAAAATGTTCAAGTCATGCTACTCTCTTGTTAAAATATGAATCTCAGAATCTTGGTCTTTCAATATTAAACCTAGAGTTAAAGATAAATATTAAGGTAAACTTAATCAAATTACATAGATATTCAGATATATTTCTGTATATATATTTCTGAGTGATATCTTTCATTATTAATCCTGCTTCACTTTTTCATGGATAGTTTCATCTTCTTCTCAAGATTTGTATTGATTATTGGTCAAGTAAATATGCTGAAGAGTTGACAGATATATAAGCAGACACACATGTTGGCTGTGTCTCTGTTAAACAAAGCACAATGAAAAACCAATCAAGGCACATCAACCAAAAAAAAAGCCACAAACCAAGCAATAAAGAAAAAAAATCATGCCAGTTTCTCAGGTTTTAAGAAAGCTCCTCAAAGCTATTAAATGGAAAGGAACATCCTGACAAGTCCAATGCTCGCAAGGAGAGAGCTCAACTCTGGAATGCAAAACCAAAACTCCCTCTTCCCCATCCCCTTAGAAAGCCCCCCCAAACACAACACATATAAATCCATTATAAGCCTGAATAAAAAAACAGTTCTTGTAAGTAAAGTGATCTCCTCTGCTCAAGCTGCAATGGCAAAGGACATTTAGACCAACAGCACTCTCATGAAAAGTTTTGCAAAAAAATTATCACCAATTCAACTGAGATTCTAAGCATCAGATTCCAAGCAATAATCCAGGGCCAGACTTGACTCAAGAGATGAAAATGAAGAGTTAAGAATGAAGATGAGTCTACAATACCTTCCTAATTTAGGTCATCAGAACACTAAGCCATCATTTACTCCCACTGGAGCCAACTCCTGAATAAGCAACTGAGAACCAGAAAGCGAATGGGGAAGCACAGATGAGGAAGCAGTCAAAATGGCCAAATATTCATTGCTGTATGCTTGCTGACCAATCTGGCTTTTGCAAGCCCTTTTTCCTCCTAAAGCAGCACAAGAAAAAGACCTGAATTCCACCACATAGCAAACCCAAGACTGAGTTGTGTCCCCCTCTGTCACAAGTGACAGGCACATCCTTTCTGCTGTGTGCCAAGATGTACTGCACTACAAGCATCAGCAGGAGTTACAAGTTTTGTGCTGTAAAACTAAGAAAATAAAACTAGATCACCTTAGAAGAGAAAATAAACATGAACATAAAAACAAGGCAGTCCAGAGCCAAAGACAATAGAGCTGTGAGTAAATTCAGAATTAACAGTCCTTACAAAACTGTCAGGTAATGGGGGGAAGAACAGGCCAGTGGACATAAAGACACTTCTTTTTTTCTGCCAAAACAATCAACTAAAACCACAAGAAAACCTATAACCTCAGCTGTTGCAATGGAACTGCAGTACTCTGCCAAAGAATGTCTTCAGAAGACAAAAACAAAAGTAAAAAACAAAACTTCAAAGGAGAAAAGGCTGGATTCAGGCCCAAAATAGTGTATACGAAATAAACATAGAACAATTCAAAATTGCTCAAGCTGATCTATTTTTCAATTTCACTGCCTGCAAAATGCGGTTTATATATATTACTACGTATAACTTAAACACAACTTACTTATCCAGTGGACCATAATTCATTCCTGCCAAAGTTCTCATGTGGTTAAGAAAACAGCTGTGCAGATGTGAAACAAGGGTTAAGCAACAAGGATGCAAAAGGGCTGCATCTGCTATTTTATCTTGCTCTAAAACACAAGATTCCATGGAGACTGTGAAAACTTGATTTGATTGCAAATTCTAGAATACCTGAATTTTGATGATAAATATCAAGAGGCACCACTTCAAGACTAAATAACCTTTGAAAATTCCCAAGCTAAGCAGAGCCCATGCAGTATTGCTTCAAAACAAGCATCCTTGAAATTCAATTATATATCAGATTATAAAAGCCAGCAAGAGTACTTCATTGTTCAGCAAATATAATACAGAACAATGGGGATTTCAACAAGGTAGCAACAGTGAGGTTAAAAAGAAATATCTGCACCTACTTCCAAATTCATCAGCTTGACAACTTCAAAAATTTACAGCATTAAAACGCAGTAAATTTCCAACTGCTTACAATGTTTATGGCTAGCACGTGGCTTTGAAAATTGGAGATTAAAAAGATCTAAAAGCACAGAAATATTAGGTCTTGGGAAGGATTCTGTGTCTGTAAGAACTATATCAGCACACAATAGATAAAATAGACAGCCAGTGGCTTGTTTCCAGCAGAACCAGTAGCAAGTGCAAAGCAGAGAATTCATTTCATCCTGACACAGATTCACAGAGCTGTACAGCTGGAAGCCAGTTGGTGTACTGAAAGACCAAAGTTATGGAACATAGAATGTACAGCTGTCAATGGCAGGGTGGACAAGCTCATTAGATTCATGGAAGGAGCAGCCAATAAGAGACAGAAACTAATTTCTGCTTTGTAGAAGAGGAAAGTAATGTAATGAGTAGGGCAAGAATGCAGCAGCAAAGTCAGTTTTAAAATAGGACTGTCAAAAAAAGAAAAAAATGCAGAAACAGAAAAAGATGCATTTGGAAGGAAGACTGCACTTCTGTTAAGGCCAATAGGCCTCTAACATGCAAACTGTAAAAAAGGAGGATTGGAAGGGACCTCAAGAGGTCCTCAAAATTAATCCAGCTTCTATTTTCTTGGCCTTCTAGGAGGGAGAAACCATTTTATCCACTCAAACAGCTTTTATCTTTTGGATGATGCACTTTAGATATCTTGTTTGTCATTAGAATTAGAAAAGTCTTTTCTTTTTCAGTCTTTTCCTAATATGTCCTCCTTTTATTTATTGACTGGTAAACCATTATCAATTCATTTGCTTCATTTTTAAAGGCTGGAAATAAAACTGCCACAATACCCTACTCTGTTTTCACTAATTCTCAAGTGAAGGAATAATTACCTCCTATCTAGTCTTTAAAGTACCCTTAGCAAATTAACAGTAGCCTCACATCATTGACTCAGTATGAAATTCACGTTCTCCCCTAAAGCTTTTTTTTCTTAAATAGTCTTCCTCTTTGTCAATTATTACCCATTTGGTAGAGGCTAATATACACACTGCAAAAGCACTCACACTGGTGAGCATGTTGGGTGGGAAACACCCAAGTTTCCTCCAGTTTGTTTAATAAATTAATCTAGTTAAAAGAAGGATACATTTTAGCTTTATCTACAATACATCTCAAAACTATCCTTATAAAACCACTAGTAACAGGACCACAAACAGAAGGTGGTGAAATAACCACAGTCACCAATTTGTGCAAATGCACTCACTGGAAACCTGCTATTACTTGACCTGAAAGTTATCTATGTAATGGGGAGCAAAAGAAGTAAACATTCCAAATTTTTAAGCTGGTATTTAAACATGAGTAAAATGACTGCAAAGGAGCTCTGATAAGACAGCTTCAGCATTAACTCAAACTTTTAATTAAAATTAAGTTAGACCACTACAATTACCTAAATGCACTTATAACAACCAAGAGAACTGAAACAGACTACTACTGATTCAAGAATAAATACTTAACCATGTTGACCTTTTCCCTGAACCACTTCTTCAGGAATAACAGTATCATTAGCCTCACCCTCCAGATAATGCAATGATACAGAACAGTAATTTACAGAAAACATGGAGGCAGAACTGTTGAGTACAAACCTGTAATCTTGTTTCAAGGGCTCGGACAGTAAGCAAACCATTCTCTTGCAATCCTTCTGCAGCAGGAACATCATGTTTATAATTGATACCACTCTGAAAGAAAAAAAACAAAACCAAAACTCTGAATGAATTAAAAAGCTGAAAGTAATGTACAGGCTATTACACAGCATTATAAAAATCTGGGAGAAAATACAGCAAGCCAGGAGAATAACACTATGTCTTTTAAAAGCAAAATCCTGTTTTCTGAAAGCAATTAGAATTTGATAGTACATAATGGAAATACCCAATTATGAGAAGATAATTAACAAGCACTATGGCCTTAATTAAATTAAGGGTTCTTAGCCAAAAGGTAACCATTGTGGCAAAACTATTATGTATGTTAAGCATCTTCAGCTGCATTAATTTCCCAACAGAATGTTGATACAATCATAGAAGCAAAATAATGTCTTCAGATAATTTAAGATTACAGCAGGGAATATTGTATTCAAAGTTCAGGGCATTTCACAGCACACATCCAATTTCACTTTGCATCAATACTTTAATGATTTGTTGAGGTTTTCTTAATTTAGTAAGCACAGACTGAATAGCTGAGAAAAGGCAAGCTCAACTTACTGCATAGTTGACCTCCCCAAGATCTGTTATTTTGAATGTACTTAACACGTCTGTATTGGAGTCATCCTTAAAAAGCAGTAACAGCTGCTCACTTCCAGAGCCAATAAAATCATCCACCAGAACACACTTCACTTTTTGCCATTTGGAAGCCACCTACAGTAGAAGAGGTTTTAAAACACATTTATTAGAATAAATCTTGTATTTGAGATCTCATTTTGGTGAGGCTTGCTTTCCATTAAGAGAGAGTCTATCCAGTTGTGTGAAATATAATAATATTCAGAAGTTTCAAGCTCTCACTCTCACCCCATCATTTAGAGCCTATGTAACTCTGGAAAAAAAATAGCCATTTCTCTTTAAAGATCACTTTCCAGATTACAAGCTGCAGAGAGGATGACAACTTTTCAGTGTATTCAAACAGCTGAATGTTGTAACATTTATTTAGAAGCAGTATTCCTTGAAGATCCGTTAAAGGCATTGTACCTTTGATATTGAGAAACATCTTTGTTTCACAACTGTATAGACTGAACTATGTTTGAAAGTTAAAGACAAATTTTTATAATCGTGCCAGCAACTAAATAGCAAATAAATAAATAAATTTTTATTTCCTGACTTATAAAAGTCTTCCTGTCAGACTACTACAAAACCGTAGCAGAAACTTTGTCTCTCCTAATTTTAAGAAACAATAGCAAGGCCTTTTCCTGTCATTTTCATAAAACAACACTTTCTAGGAATAACTTTTTGTTATTAGGAATTAAAGCTCAAAAAGCTTTGATGTTCCAATGAGCAGTTTATACTTTGCAATGATATGAGGTTACTTCTAACACAAATCATCCAGGTACACTCATGACTGCCTTACAACTTCAAGTCTTCACACTATTGCAGTTTTAAATTAGCAACAGAAGCTTTGGTCAGATTCATAAATGTATTACTAAATGAGAGAATACTGGCTTCATTTTTCGATATATAAGCAAGCAATGAAAGCAAAACAATGCCATACTTTAGACAGGTTATTTTACCAGCAGCAACAATAATAAACAAATAAGAAATCTAAAGAACTTAAACATGCAGGTTTTAGTTGCAGGACTTTCAGTAAGACAATATATACAAAAAAGACCACAGTAAAAGGAAGCTGTTTAAAGCCAGCAGTACCTGTAAGCTGTCTCTCCTCCGTACGACACAGCTATTTCCAGAGGCAAAAGACACAGCAAACAGCAAATCCCTGCTGCTGGTTAGAGCCGTTTTTACTGAACATGGCTTTTGGTAGGGAAGCTCACAAACACCTTTAGGGGCACCATTTTGGAACCAAATAAGCTGGTTCTTGTGGGTTACGGCAACAAGTGATAGTCGGAGCTGTTTTCTCCATCTCTCACTCCTGCAGACGTGGACAGAAGACACCACTCTGCTGTAGGCATGAGGCATGAAGCACGCGCCACTCAGAAACTTCTGTGATTGGATTGCGTATCCGAAGAACTCACTGCCCCAGACAGCTCTGTCTGAAACAGAAAACCCATCTGGGTCTCCAGCCTCTGGCAGGCAAGCAGTTCTTATCCCTAAGACAACAGTGCCTTCACCTACAATTTCACCTGTCCACACCACACAAGAAAGATGAACAGGAGCACTTTGAACCACGCAGGTATTGGAAGAGATGTAGAAGAGCTTGTTGGCATGTCTCCACAACAGTGATGGGCCAGCAAACAACCTGATGTCTTCTTTCAGCTCATAATCCAATTTAAAATAAAAGGACGGCTCAAATTCGTTTGAACTGTGAAGCAACAACAAAAAGTATTTGACACTGTTTCGTTTTTTCTTCTTCATCAAAATGCAGGGAAGAATAATCCCTGTTCTGGAATCTGTTGTGCAGCTACAACAAATCATTTCAATTTTTGAGTGACTGGCTCCCATGCTGAATGCTCCAGAAGACTTCTGAACAAACAGCTTAGTGTCTCTATTGAAAGCCATCCTTCTGACACACAAATTCACCGTTTTATCACCTGCTTCCTCTGCTTGCTTTGGTTTTGACAATTGAAATACAAGGACTTCACCATTGTAGGACAAGAATTGATCTTGCTCACTCAGAAGCATCTTGATTTATCTTTGTGTATATTCCTCTATAAGAAAATAATGTGTCCCTGTTTCTGTCAGGCTTATTTCTTTGTGCAAATTTTAAACTTTCTGGACATTTTCCATCTACAAAAAACAAATAAGAAAAAAAATTAAATTGTTTTGGGACGAGCTGAACTGAGCCTTAAGAATAACTTTTACATTGCAAAGCGATAATACAGAAATGTTTGAGAATGAGGCCAGTATGTGCTTTGATCTCATAGATTAACAATGAAGTTAAACAAACTTGTGCTGAGAGATTTAACTAACAGAAACATTTCAGAAATGTTTCTTTACCAAAGTATGCATTCTGTGGCTATCAACAGCTGCACAGTGTAATATAAACTGATAAAAACCAAGCCACACACTCACAATTCATGTGATTGTATTGAAGAAGCCACAAATATACTGAGCAGACTGGAAAGTAACTGTGCTTTGAGCTCTAAAATTAAAGAGCCTTCTCTCGGGCGTACTGCTTGTTAATAGCTGCAATTTATTTTTTGTTAAAATTATAAGGCCTCGAAGGAGAAAGTTCTCTGAAGAACCATCCAGTCATTTTGCGGCCAAGTGGACTGACTCCCTCCCTCTGTCCCTCCTCGCCCAGAGAAGGCCCCGGGGGTCCCGAGGGAACCGCAGCCGTCTCACCAAGTTTCACTCCGCTTGCAGGACCCGCAGCGACGCCCCTCGCCCGGCTCAGGCCGCGACGCCGCCCGCTCCCGCACCAAGACCGGGGACAGACAAGGGCAGCGACCGCGGGCTCCGCGCCGGCGGGGCCGCTCCAGGCGGGGCCGCTCCAGACCGGGCCGTTCCCGGCGGGGCCGTGCCACGGTTCCCACCCAGCTTGGCCGTTCCCGGCCGGCGGGGCCGCTCCGAAGCTCCCGCCGCGGGGAGCATGACGGGAACGCAGGCAGGGCTGGGCCACCCCTAGGGGCGGGGCCTGCCCGCTACAGGTCTCCCCGAGGCCCCGCCCCCCGGGCGCCGCTCCATCCCCTTTTCCCGCCGCTCCTCGCGCTGCCGGAGCCGCCTCAGTGCGGGCGGACCCGCTGGATCATGGCTGAGGTGAGTCCCTGTCACTCCTATCCCCTCGCTGTCGCCTTCCTGCCCGCCTGACGGCTGTTCTCGCCCCAGCCGCCGCCCGCAGCCGCTCGTGGTTGGTGGTCGGCGGGGCGGGTGGCCGGGCCCTGCCGTACAGGTGAGGGCCTGGGGCTGTCTGGAGCCCCGGCCTTTCCCTTCCTTTCACGGCCCTCCTGTTCCTTGTTTCTTTTCAGCAGCGACAGGATAAGGGGGCGCTGATAAGCGAGACCCGGCGGCGTTTCGAGGCGGAGTACCTGCCAGGTGAGCGGGGTGCGCTGGGTGCGGGCTCTGGGGCTTGTCCGCTGTCACTTTTCCTCTCGGGGCTCCGGGTGTCCTGCTTTCCCAGGCCTAGGAACGTCTGTGACTTTTCACAGAATCGACTGGGTAGGAAAAGGCCTCCGAGATGATTGAGGCCAACCTGTGACTGAGCACCTGTCAGCCAGCCCAGGGCACTGAGTGCCACATCCAGTCATTCCTTAAACACCTCCAGGGACGGTGACTGCCACCTCCCTGGGCAGCCCGTTCAGATATCTAACCACTCTTTGTGTTAAGAGTTTTTTCCTAATGTCCAAGCTGAACCTGCCCTGGTGCAGTTAGAGTGTCTGAATCCATGGAAGGGTACGATGCATAGCAGGTCTCTGTGCTGGCTTTCGGAGCTGGGTCACTGTCTTGGGCTGCAGGATGTGCTGGGGCAAAGCTCTCGCTCCTTTTCTCCTGCAGGGTGTTTGGTTGGCTGGAGAGTGTGGCCTGGGACATTGCTGTGCTTGGTGTTCTTTGACATAAAACATGTCAGGGAAGGGGGAACAGAGGCATTCTGACCTCACCGAGTTTGTCAAAGGAAGAGTTGTTTTTCTGGAGTAACTTGCATTTGAATTTCATGCAGGCCATAATTAATATCATACTGCATGTCCAACTCGGTTCTTAAGTGCAGGTGCATTTAAATTTGTAAATTAAGGCCAGGAGATGCTGGGGATGACTAGGGGGGAGGGAAGACTGGGGTAAGCCTAGAGTGGTTTCCTTTTATTTCAAGGTTGATTTGCATTGCCTGTGTTGGAGGAATGTAGGGTATGCTAGCAACTGCAGTAAACAATATGTTTCATTGTGACTAGAGACTTTCTACTAAAAACATAAATCTATGCAATTTTTAATGCAAATAGAGTAAAAGTCCAGTAGTTGTGTTGCCTGCGTCTCCTTTAATAAGAGCCTCAGTTCTGCAAACAAATGCCTTGCTTTGATGGTTCTGATCAGAACTATTGAGGTTACCTTGCTATCACTTTTTGTAAGGGTTATGTGTTTCTTCATTGTAGTGAGCTGGAACATGCTTTTGGAAAACTCTGAAGGTCTTGAGGGTGGTACAACTTTGTCTCATATGGTTGCTCTGCTAACTTTCATAAAGGAGACTACTTTAGTCTTGGTTAGAGATGACCTTTATTTCTGATGACAAAATTTATTAGAAAGTCTTGAAGTAGACAGAGCTTATTTTACCATTTGATACTTTTAAGTGAATAAGGATATCTTTGTAAAACTCACGCTTGAATCAGTGGAGGCTCATCTTAAATTCTAAATTCTTCTGCCTCTTAATGTTTTCAATTAGTGTATATTTTCATATGGTAGGTGATTCAACTTGCTTTGTATTCTATCATCCCAGGGTCATACTCATAATTAATTATTTTAGAAAGCCTAGGACTGCTGTGGGACAGTGGTTGTGGAAAAGGGGTATTACTCTTTCAGATGATCTTGCTTAAAATCTTGGAATTCTACAAGTTTATCTAGTTGTAACGATGTCTCTGTTGGGCTGGTTGATGCAGCCATTAAATAACTGAATATTGTTGCAAGGTAAGCTGTAATCCTATTCGCAGTATTTTGAACACTTTTTCGCAGTAAGCCCATTTTTGGGTCATGTTTTTAGGATTAGGACTTTTTTTGAGTTTGTGTTGCTAAGATTCCGCCACAGGTTTAGGAATGCCCCATGCAAATTAATGTTCTCATGACCACAATCCAGAGTGAAAACCACAGGATTTTGATTTTGTACTGGTCTATCAGCCTTTACTGTGAGTGTTCTAAAACATATTCTTTTATGCTTCTTAATCAAAGGAATGTGGGGCTGCATGTATGCAGGCACCCTCAAACCTGTGACTTGGGGGTGTAAAGGTGCAAATGATTGCTTCATACCCAGGAATTTTAGTCTTTGGTCTGCTTTCAAAACTAAGGGCACTGTCACGCTACACTGAGAGGCTGATCCTTCCTGTAAAGTTTAGTGTGGTCAAAGAATTGTGGGCCTCTACAGAGCAAACTTTATTCTGTTTACAGGTGAACTGCAGTTGTTAAACTCAGAGGAAAGTTTTCAGGCAGTTATTTGTTTGTTTGGGGTTGTTTGTTTTTTTTTTTTTTTTTTTTTTTTTTTTTTTTTTCCTGGAGGTTGCAGCTGCCACTGTTTTGTTTTCCCTCTGGGGAAAACAATTTAACTGGTTATTCTAGAAACACAGTAATTCTGATCATCAAAGATTAAGTGATTCTTCCATATTCTGTAACTCATCGTTACTAGCTTCCCTCCTGCCCCTCCTCATGTGGGAAGATTTGGTAATGGTCAAAAATGGTGAGATGGCCTTACAGTAATGTTTACTTTTGTTATGAAATGAAAACTTAGAGGGTCTTTGAAATCCTACTTTTTCATTGAAATTATTTATTGGCAGAATACAATTTTTTTTAGTTTGAAGTAGAATCTACAAAAATATATAGCTGATTCAGAAAAGTCTAATATTCCAACATGTGTTATAATTATTATAATAATATGCTGTGGTCTTGATAATTTTCAAGGTTGGGTATGAAAAGTTTTGTTCAGTAATTGAAAGCACCATAAATCTGTTTTTTTTGAATGATACAGTTGTTTCATTTATGTGACCAAATCAGAAGATGCTTCTGATAGTCAGATACGGTGTGAAAGTGTCAGACAACCTGCCTCGTTTTCCCAAAATTTATACGAGAGCTTTCTTTCTGAAGTTATTCAGCTTACTTGGCCATTGAAGTGTTCTAGAAGGAAAGCTTGGCCACTGTTGCATCTTATCTGCAAAACAGTATTTATTATTAACTGAAATCTTGTGGGTTTTTTTTTTTTTTTTCCCTTCAGTTAGCTTTCTAGCTGGATTCTAAAAACAACTTCAGTTCTTGTGAGGAATGTATGCCCCAATAATTAAACCCTTGTATTTAAAAGGTTTCTCTCCAATAGTGTCCCTGTTAGTCCAATAGACTGGCAAACACTGTCTGATGTGGTAGGCAGACAGCACTTTGTCTTCACTGGTTTTGGGCCTAATTTGTCTTTTGCCTGTTTAGATTCTTTGTGGGAGTTGGTGACGTAAATGATTTTACTGGTGAAAGGAACAATGAAAACAAAAGTTTTTTTTTTTTCTAGCACTGACTGGCACTAACAATGTTTTCTAGCAAACAAGCATGTATTTTTCTATAGTGAATTTCCATTCCTTAGTGGTTTTCTAAAATTAGCTTTTATTTCTGGGCTATTATGTTCTATTTTAATGTTACAGTGGAATTTTTTTACAGTCGAGTCTTGTTTGATTTTTTTTCAGTAAACTAGTTTTGTTCATATTTTGTTTTGCATGTTAACTGTTTCTAATTGCCTGTTATTTCCTGGCCCTCCCCACTTACATCCTCTTCCTTTCTCCTTTAGGCAAGTCTTATTTTTCAGAAAAGATTTTGCAAGAGAAGTTTCCTATCCTTCCAAAGTAAAGGATTAAATTTCACCATGACTTTCTTTAAGCCTGTAGCATATGTGTTTTGTTAATCATATGGGCTGATTGCAAATAAATTTTTAGACATATGGGACACCCTTAAAAATCAGTAATAAGACTGCTGTAGAAGAGTGGTAAAGTAATGTTTTGCATACCTGCATGTCTTTTTATGCTCTGAAACGTCTGTTTCCCCTGGTTATTAGCTTTTAGGCTGAGACTGGTGGAAGGATAAGATGGGAAACATAGAAAGCTCTGTAACGTTAATGATTGAGCTTTTTATTGTAAACAGTCTTTATTGTCATTGACAGTGTTCAGTTTTGCTAAAAGTTTATCTCACTTTGTTAAGGTAGTTATTTGTCTATTGCTGCTTGAGGTTGTGAAATAATTCCTTATTGGATGGAAATAGTGTTTGGTTTGTTCTTCATTCCTGTCCCTTTATGGCTACTGACCTTCTTAAATTGTTTCTAGTCTTGCTGATTTTCTCATGTAGCAACTGAAGGCACATACCTGAATTGTTGCAGTACTTAGCTTAATGTTTGGTGTCAACAGCCAATTAAAATGGGTTTCCTCTTGGGAGCCAAAGTCAGAGAAATTATTGTGACCATTTTAAACCAAGAATTCTTGGCTGGAGTAGCCTTAAGACAGTAGATAAATTGGGTCTCTTTGTGTAATGTAACATTTGACATACTTTTCTAAGTTGCTTTTTTTCTCTGCTTTGTACAATAAAGTTTCTAGGTTTGTTCTCTATTAAAAGATACCCAGTTTCTGTCCCTGCTTAGCTTTATGTATGGCTTGTTCTGTAACACTGCTTTTCTAGATAAGAGTTTTTTCTGGAGGGAGAGGTCATTCAGGTTTTTAATTCTGAACTTCTCTGGATTAATTTAGTGTGCGACTCAGCTGTGCTGCCTGGTTTTGAGTCCTGTAGTTATTCTTCT